CAAACACTACTGCACGATGTCATGAAAGTTCTCTTGAGTCTCTTCTTACGACATATGGCTTGAGCTTGTCACGTGTGCGTGAACAAGGTTATGATGGAGCTAGTAACATGCAAGGAGAGTTTAATGGTTTGAAGAGTTTAATATTGAAAGAAAACAAGTCTGCTTTTTATGTCCATTGTTTTGCTCATCAACTTCAGTTGGCTCTTGTGCAAATTACTAAGAAGAACAAGCAATTATGTGAGTTTTTTGGTTCTCTTGCAATGTTAGCAAATATTATTGGAGGTTCTTGTAAACGTCAAGAGTTGCTTCGGGAGAAACAATTTGAAAAACTGTGCGAAAAGATTTCTTTTGATAATTTTGTAACGGGTAGTGGTTTGAATCAAGAAGCCACTTTAAAAAGGCCGGGAGATACACGTTGGAATTCATATTATTTCACAATCTTGAGTATGATTAAGTTGTTCTCGTCGGTGGTTGATGTACTAGAGTATTTAGCAAATAACGGTGATGATGTTGCTCATTGTGGACAAGCCACAATCCTTTTAAGAAATATTGAGTGTTTTGAGTTTGCCTTTGTTTTGCACTTAATGAGATCAGTCTTGGGAATCACAAATGATTTATCACAAGCATTGCAAAAAAAAGACCAAGACCTTGCTAATGCCATGAAGCTTGTTACTTTTGCTAAAGATCGACTGCAAGAATTGAGAGAAGATGGTTGGGGCAAATTGTTGCAAGAAACTTCAGAATTTTGTGTTGAGCATGACATTCTTGTCCCAAACATGGATGATAATTTTCTACTTTACTCAAGAGATGGCAGAATATCCCGGAGAGGTACACAAATTACAAACTTGAATCATTATCAAATTGAGGTGCTTTACACAGTCATAGATCTTCAACTTTCAGAGTTGAACGATCGTTTTGATAATACCAATACGGAGTTACTTAGTTTGATATCGTGTCTTGATCCAAGTAATTCGTTCTCTGCTTTTGATACAAATGCTTTGGTGAAATTAGCTGATTTTATCCAAGCGAGTTTGATGATTGTGGTCTTATCGTTCTTGCAAATCAACTTGAAAATTTTATTAGAGATGTTAGAAGTGATCAAGACTTTTCAAATATGGTGGGGGCTAGTAGGCTTGCTGAGAAGTTGGTTGCAAAGAGAAAACATATTACTTATCCATCGGTGTATTTGCTATTGAAGTTGTCGTTAATTTTGCCGGTTGCAACCGCATCAGTGGAAAGGGTATTTTCTGCAATGAAGATTGTCAAGTCAGAACTACGCAATCGTATGGGGGATCAATTGTTGAATAATATTTTGGTGTCGTACATTGAAAAGGATATATTAGATAATGTTAGTGTCGACGAAGTGATGACTTTTTTCCAAGAAATGGAACCACGTCGAAAAATATTTTAGAACTTTTTATTTGTATATTAAAACGGTAGTATTTAAAATAAAAAATTCCATGTGTATTATTTATATATTTTTTTGTTATTATATTTCGAACACCCTTAATTAAAATCCTGGATTCGCCACTGCTCGTGCTGTCCTCCAAGCCCTCATCACTAGTCGTAATCTTCAATGGCAATCTATAATTGTTGAACATATATTTTTAGTTGTATAATGCAATTATTCTTTTAGTTATTCTTTTCAATAAAAGATAAATTTTTAAGGTATTATAATTTATAATACAAATTAAATTGTGCTTGAGGGGTAAGTGTTACAAATGATACTTTAATGGGGTAAGTATTACACATGTTATACTTTAGGGATGTAAACTTTATTTATTAATCAATTATTATTACTTAGAGTTTTCTAATGTTGTTTAATAATTTCTTGCCGTTTATTTTTTAAATACAATTGTAGTATGTCCTGAAGGAAAATTCGATGACTCTGAGAACAAGGTGGTGTTTGCAAAAGTTTTTTGAAAGTGATTATGAGCTTGGTTTTGCTCATAATCTGTTTCGAGGTGTTTGCAAAATCAACTTTTGTTTTTGCTTCTCTTAATATAATATGCTTTAAGCTATTTTTTTAAAAACACCCATAACCCTGCCTTTTCTATTTATGTTCATTTTCCGGAATAATTGCAAACACTCCCAACTTTTAGAAATAAGCACTTACAACTGGCTTAACTCACAATCACTAACTTTTGCTTTTAAATAATCATTTACAAACACCACCTAAATGGCAATCTATTATTTCGATGGATCGGAAAACAAACGACAATTCATTTAGCTTAGATACTTTAAATCAGATTATTTTGCATATTAGAAAGTTTTGTAATTCGATCGAAATAATCGTATTATATTTTTGGATCGAAAATTCGATGGATCGGAAGATCTGTAATTATATTTGTTATTCATCTAAAATACTAACATAAAATAATGTTAACATTATAAATATGACAGAAGAGTCATTTCAAAGTTACCGAAATACTACATGAATATCATTGAAAAATTCATGAGAGCAAAAATATATGAGGTCGTAGTTAGTAAACAAATTATGTAAGGGGACGTTGCTAGATAAACAAACAATTGGAGATTTTGAGTAATTACTCATACTTGAGGGCTATAGTTCTTTGGTAATTCGACCAAAACTCATAGTTTTTCTTTTAGGGTAATTATGATTATTTTTTAGGGGCTATTTCATTAAAACACCTTATACTATTTTCTCATAGGGAGAATTTTAAATGACCAATTAGTGAGAACCCCTTTCCTTATATACTTCCAAAATACCCTTAATTATTCATCCCAAACAAAAAGAAAAAAAATCACGTCTTCCCCAAAAATAACTCCCCCTAAATATCTGTCCACTCCTTCCATTATCTCTCAAAAATATCACACAATTTCAATAATTATTTTTTGGTATTTTGTTTTTCGTATTTTCAATTTTGAATTTTATCCTTAAGAATTTTTATTTTTTTCGATTAGAAAAATTGCTTTTTATTTTGATTTTTTTTATAGATTTTTATCATGGGTAAATGACAAATAGGCCAATGACCAGAGCACTTAATTAAAAAAGGGACTTTCAACTTTTTTGTCTGCCAAATAAATCCAGCTCATTCAAACTTATTTGAAAATAAAGAAAACTCTCTTATATATACCAAAATTACATTCAATTCCTTGAAACCCTAATTCAACTTCAATTTCATGATTTACACCACAATTTAGCACAATTTCATCAATTAACCAATTTGACCCTTATTCCAATTTTGACACGCCACCGTTGAAGATCGCCAATGGAGCCGCCATAGATTTTTTTTTTTGGCTAATTGTTTTTTCTCCAGCAGGTCAGCCGCCGACGTTTACTATTTTTTTTTTTTTTTGTAAACTTGTTTTTTCTTAAAAAAAATATTTTAATTAATATTACTGTATAGGCTACTAAATTACTGTCACCGACAGTAATTTAATTTTCGGAGACAATAATTAAACTTTCTTACACAGTACTGTATTAATTAATTTTATCGTCTTGGCCTACGATTTGTGAAATTTGGGGTTCAATTAATTTTAAGGATGAAATTGGACCATATTAAAATGTGAAGGGATATTTTAATCTTTTACACATTTCTGAACAATGTATGCACTTTTTTGTAAAATATATTTTCGTCTGGATCCCTTTCTAATAAGTATGCCATAATGAACTTATTTTTAATGGACCATTTATTTAGATTATAAATGTTTGAGGGTTTTCTAATAATTATATTTTAGTTCATGGATTTTTTTTGGTAATTTACTCTATTTAAAACAAGGGTAAATGGCAAATAGGCTCACGACAAGTGCACTTAATTAAATTGGGACATCTATTCTTTTTGTCTTCAAAATAAATCCACCTCATTCAAACTTATTTGCAAATAAGGAAACCCCTTTTATACATAGCAAAATTACCCCCAACTCTTTGAAATCCTAATTCAATTTCAATTTCATGATTTACACTCAATTTCACCAATTAACCAATTTTGACTGCTACAGCCGGAGATCGTCGGTCTCCGGCCTTGATTTTTTTTTTATGATTTTTTTTCTCGGCAGGTCAACCTCCGTTGACCGCTGGTCTCCGGCGTTGACTTCTTTTTTTCTTTCGGAACACTTGTTTTTTAAAATATTTTAATTAATATTACTATCTTGACTGTTAAATTACTGTCTCCAACAGTAATTTTAACTGTCCGAGACAGTAATTTTACTGTATAAATTAATTTTATCGTCTTGGCCTGCAATTTTGCTATCTTCGACTGTGATATTACTGTCTCCGACCGTAATATTACTGTCTCATGAAATAATATTACTGTTTGGGACATTAATATTAGTAACATTGTTGTTTGGGGAAATTAATATTCATAATATTAGTATTCGGGACAGTAATATTGCTGTTTCGGACAATAATATTAGTAATATTACTGTTTGGTATCCAATATTACTATCTCGGACAATAATTTTGTGTTAGCACAGTAATTTAGAGAGAGAGTTTAAAAAAAATTAATAAAAAAAATAAAAAGTCAACGCCGGAGACTGGTGGTCAACGGTCGGAAAAAAATTAAGAAAAAAGAAAAAAAAATGAAAAAGTCAACGCCAAAGAACCGTCCGGTCAACGCCGAAATTGGCCGGAAAAAAAACTGGTAAAAAAATTATTTTGTGAAAAAGGAAATATTTTTTCAAAAAATTATAAAAATAGGGGTCAATGTAATATATGTTTTCAAATCGGGGTTTAATGTGTAATATTGATGGAGTCAGAGTATAATAGATGGAATTGATAAACATAATATTACGGAGGATATTTTAGACAAAAAACATGAAAATAAATTTATTTACAAGACTGTTTTTTGTCTGGATCTATGTACATTTAAATCCATGTCATAGGTCTATTTGGCATTCTTCCATAAAACAAATCTTAATTATGAAAACTTAAACTACATGTATAGTGTTAAAAGTTATAGAGACACTTTGGAAAAAACAAATTCATCACACACTGCGACTAGGGGTGGCAATTTCTCAACTTGGACCGGATCTGATCCGGATCCATGTGGATCGGATTCAAAAGGATCCGGATCCAATATCAACCTATATGAATAGATTTAATGTGGATCGAATTTAGACCGATTCGGATTGGATCCAAATGGATCCATTTCATTTTTAATTCAACTTATGAGGTTGAATATCTCAACTTTTAGAATTTAATATCTCAATTTATGTAGTTTAATATCTCAACTTTTAGGATTTAATATCTCAATTTATGTGGTTTAATAATTAATATATAAACTTTCAAACTCACACATTATCACACACACTTTTCATATACACTCTCACACACATACACAACTGTTTAACACACACAGCCCGTTTTACACACACACACACACACTATGTTTTGCACACACATACACTGTTTTACACACACACACACACCGTTTTACACACACACACACTCTGTTTTACATATACACACACTGTTTCACACACACACACTCACATACACACACTGTTTTACACACACACACACACACACTCAAATACACACACTGTTTTACACACACACACACTCACATACACACACTGTTTACACACACACACACTCTGTATACACACACACGCAC